CCATGTGGGCAGTATGTGGCCTCTTTGATTGGATGATCTCTTTTTCATTCACTGAATGAATGTTCATTAAGCATCTGGTAACCGCCCTGGCACTGCGTTGGGTGCTGGATTCAGGAGTGAGCAGGACAGACAAAAATCATTGCCCTTACTGAAACTTACACGAGAAATCGTCAAAGGAGATAAATGTAATAGAATAAATGATTATTTGATTTAGAAGCATAGAAACCAAGAGTGGAAAGAAACCAATTGCCTAGATCAACTACCTAATTAAGTCCTAAATCCAATATTCATCCCGCTAACTGCATTTGGGAGCCCACCTGGAATGCCCACGGATACAGCCTGTTACTAAATGGGGAGGAGAAACTGGTCCAGGTTATACGGCAATGGGGAGTAAATCAGGTGATGGGAATGGTTGTCATCTGGGAATAGAGGCCTGGGATTGCTGGCTCTTGACCAGGAACTGAAATCCAGATTTCTGCATGAATCTCTTGATGTTTAAGTTCTGGAAGCTAATTCAAAATTTTCAATGGCATCATTATGTCAAAAGCAACACTTGGTCAGGTCAAAGACCGCCAGTGTGCTCTCTTGGTCTTAGCGGGGCATTCAGTCATTCGTTCATTCATTCATCAAACATTAGTAAACGGCTTCTCTGGTGTACCCAGCTTAAGAATAGCTGCTGTCTGGCCAGCCTTTCAGAGCCTTCCAGTCTCTTGGGACTTGATGGCCTTTCCACTTTGAGGTACAGCGCTTGCTTTGATGATGCTAACCTGGGATAAGCACAGAATGGATATGTTTGAGTACTAAGAGGAGATCACTTGGAAGCATTTATAAGGGTGGTGATGGAAGGAAGTACTTGGCTTCATCTAGAATATCTGTTTGGTGGCTCTGAAGTGTGGGTATTTTCTCTTTCAGAAGGAGATACTGTTTCATGCCTGGTTTTTCATCTTCAACATGTTGGCCCTGAAACCCTTTCTTTCAACAAAGAATCATCATCTTTCTGCTGTTTTGAAAATTTCCCTCTAGGTGGCGCCATTTGCAGCTCTCTGAGTCTCCCTGGGCCTGCTTGCTGGCCTTCCCAGGAGCAAGGCTACTTTATTCCTTGGCTAGACAGCTGTACCAGCAAGCTCTGCCCGGAACAGCTCTTTCCCAGCTCTTCTCGGATCTGCAATGGTTCAGGCCGACTTCTAATTGGTCTTTCAGGTGACCATCATCGTGTGTCTACCCATACTCTTTTGGGTTGGTTTGAATAACTGCTCCTTCTTCTGAACTCCTCTAGCAGTCCATTCTCTCTGCTGTAGGTTAGCAGTGAGAGCTTCTCATTTTGCATTGCTGTTTATTCTTTTATGCATGTGGACTGTCTGCCCAAACAGATTATTAAGGCTTTAAGGGCTTTGTATGCCTCAGGCATCTGGCATAATGCACTGCCTGGGACAGGCAGTCTTGCAGTGTGTTTGTTGTTGACGTAGGTTCTCCTATTCTTTTGTTTATTCATCACTTAACTGAGTATCTCTTCCAGGCTGGGCACTCTTTAGGGTGCCCTGAAAGCAGTTGAGACTGAGAGATGACAGATAGAGACAGGGCACTGGGAGAGGAGGCTGAGGTAGAGAAACAGATAATTACAGCGGTGCAGGGCGTGCTATGAAGCAGCCATGCTAAGTGACTCTGGGAACAGGAGCGATGCAGGCTTCTTCCTCCCCAGGAGCTCCTTTTACATGAGTTCAGCCTTTCATTCTCTTATTCTGGGATCACTCCCGGAAACTGAACTATGCCTTTGACTGTTTTTCTTTTCCAGTCCCTACGGAGGAGGGTGATAGGAACATGGTGCAGCTGTCCATCTCAGGATGCCATGGAAAAGGTGACAGTCTTCCCATTTCCCTCTGGCATTCTATGCTCTGAGGGCTGTGTGGTTTGCTTTTCAGTCATGCACTCATTGCCGTTCAATTCTCAGAATGGCTTATCTCATTGTCTGGGGGTGATTTGGAAATGCTGACTTAAGTGATGTAGACACGTATTTATTGAAAGCCTGTTCATTCTTTAAGATGCATCCAAATATCCCCTTTTGTATGAAGTCTCCCCTAGTTCCCCCTACCAGAATGAATTATTTCTGCCTTTTTCTGCCTTTATTATTGTTACGTCTATTCCGGTTTTAATACAAATTGATTTCACTTTCTTTTATTATGGCTGTTCAGAGCCTCATGCCTTAACACTCTAAGCCTAGGGTTGCCTGGGTGGCTTATTCAGTTAAACATCTGACTCTTGACTTTGGTTCAGGTCATGATCTTGTGGTTCATGGGTTGGAGCCCCATGTTGGGCTCTGTGCTGATAGTGTGGAGCCTTCTTGGGATTCTCTATCTCCTGTCTCCCTTGCTCTTGGCCCCTCCCCTGCTCTCTTCCATTCTCTCAAAAATAAATAAATAATAAAAAAACAAAGACTCTAAGCCTATTGAGGTCAAGACCATCTCTCACTTCCTGCACTCTCTCCTTATTGACACATAGCAGGCAATGCATACATGTTAACTTAATGAACTGGGGCTTTGGAATATGATACATGTTTAGTTGCATATTTTATTTACTTCTAAAATATGGTTAATAACGTCAAGAGTTTCTACATGGATTTTGTTTGCTTGACTTAGGTTGTATGAATGTTTGTTTGGCAAATGCTTTCCAGATACATATGTAAAGGTTTCTGGATAGATCTGGGGTCTAAATTTGAATTTTCTTTTCCTGTTTCCTTCTTGTCATCCATACATGGCTTCATCACTGTCAGAGAGTACTGGCCTACTTTCTGATTTCTTTCCAATACATGAAGAAACATCCTCCTATTGATTGATTTCATCCATTCAAATATCTACTGAGTGCCAAGGATTGTCCCTGATGCTTGGGATCCAGGGGTGAAAAAGTGGATTTTGATAGTATCAAATGGTGTAATTCCTTTCATCAAAGAGCATGTCAATTCAGTCAAAATGGATTATCTGATAGATGGATAGTACAGTTTGAGAGACATTTTCAAAAATTTCAGAGGATCCTTGGCTAGGACCCCAGAGACTTGAAGCTTCCTGTCATTTGATTTTTTGGGTATTTAATATCTCTCTGAAACTCAGTATGTTAGAGGATACAAACTTACAATTAAAAATTTTCCTCTGAAGCCATTTAAAATTGCTGCATATTGAATTTCAATCTTTAATTTCATTAGTCACTTAATTTTAAGTTTTAATTTCACAGAAAGTCTAGTGGCTTTTTTTTTTTAAGTTTATATATTTACTTTGAGAGCGATTGTATGCACAAGAGTGAGCAAGGGACAGAGAGAGAGAGGGAGAGAGGGAATCCCAAGCAGGCTCTGCATGTCAGTGCACAGCCTGATGGGCAAAGCTCAGTCTTGTGAATGGTGAGATAAAGACTGGAGTCCAAATCAAGAGTCTGGTGCTTAACCAACTGAGCCACCCAGGCACCCCTCTAGTGACATAGGAGTCCACATAAAGGGGATGAGATTTGTCTTTGCGTTCCTGGCTTATGTGAACTTTAATCATTTTGTAGCCCAGATATTTAGAAAGGGAGCCTACAGTATAGATCTTATGCCTCCGTGACTTGTTTGATCTAAGTCCTGGGGTGTGTGTGCGTGCATGTGTGTGTCAAGGGGGTGGAAGTAATGGCACATAAAAGAAGGTAGTTACACACCTGTCACTCAGGAAGCCTATATGCATTCTTGACCTGTAGCAATGGTACAGTCATGACCTTCCTTTCCACTCTGGATAAGCACGTTGCTCCAGAGACATTTCAGAAAACATGAAATATGAAAAAGGGATTCCTATCATAAAATACAATTTACTCTGGAGACCACAGGTTCCATGAAAGCCGGAAGCAAAAGGAGTTCCCCTTTTGCAGCTGTTAGACAAAATAAAACCTGAATGAGCAAGATTTTTTTTTTTTTTTTTTTT